GTAGTGAACATGTGGTAGTGTTGTAGTGAACATGTGGTAGTGTTGTAGTGAACATGTGGTAGTGTTGTAGTGAACATGTGGTAGTGTTGTAGTGAGCATGTGGTAGTGTTGTAGTGAACATGTGGTAGTGTTATAGTGATTATAGTGAACATGTGGTAGTGTTGTAGTGAACATGTGGTAGCGTTATAGTGAACATGTGGTAGTGTTATACTGAACATGTGGTAGTGTTATAGTGAACATGTGGTAGTGTTATAGTGAACATGTGGTAGTGTTATAGTGAATATGTGGTAGTGTTATAGTGAACATGTGGTAGTGTTATAGTGAACATGTGGTAGTGTTATACTGAACATGTGGTAGTGTTATAGTGAACATGTAGTAGTGTTATAGTGAACATGTGGTAGTGTTATAGTGAACATGTGGTAGTGTAATAGTGAACATGTGGTAGTGTTATGCTGAACATGTGGTAGTGTAATAGTGAACATGTGGTAGTGTTATAGTGAATATGTGGTAGTGTTGTAGTGAACATGTGGTAGTGTTTACTGCACAAAAATAATGACAAAGATTTAGAAAATGGTGGAACATGCTAAACGAGACAAAGGATACGTGATAAAAGGAATAAACAGTAAATATAGTAAACGAAAATTATTTGAAAAGGCATAAAAAATGAGAGAGAGGCATCAGATAGAGGGAAGTAAACAAAACAATAAGACAAGGAAGTTAAAACCAACAAGTCACACAACTAAACCATTATGACAGAACACACATATACTAAGGACTTGATCAGGTAAACATTAAACATTATAAACAGAAGCTTCATGTGATACAACAAACAGTAAGTATGTGATTCATCAACTGTCTCAGAAAACGTGAATTTGCTGACATCAACAATACAATCCATTGACAAACATCAACTTTATTCCCTTCTCACTCTCTTAGCTTCCATTTCTTTTTTTTTTAACTTTGGAACTAATTTTTTTTGTGGGGGGGCACGAAAAGGTCGAAGGAAAACAGTAATTAAAATAAAGATCCGAGAATACACGTTGATATCATAACCTGACCAAACCTAACCTAACCATCATACACTCTCTTGCATCCACGTTGTGCCGCACTTGGGTAACGTTATTACCACCACGTCGCTCGCTCGCCACTGTGAAGGAACAGTTAGTGTCCATACTTGTACTGTAAAAAACGTGGATGCAGGAGAATGTATGGACTATGAGGAACAACCCAGACTTGCTCAACCCCGCGGCTGCTCTGCCAATAATGTCCCGAGTGCCTTTCATTGAGTAAGAAACACCGTTGACTTTCGTTAGAGTTTATTATTTCTAGTCCTCTTCCATATACATCACAGTACCTTATGCAAACCCAATACCAATATTACTTTATCATCAACTAACATTCCTTCATCGCTGCCCACAACTCCTCTACCCAAATATTCAGCTTCGTGTAACTTGTGTCTAACGTAGCTCCTGTATGAAAGACATGTGATGTTATGCCAACTTTGTTTAGTGGGGACTGTGCTAGTACCGTATAGTGCTGCTAGTACCGTATAGTGCTGCTAGTACCATATAATGCTGCTAGTACCATATAGTGCTGCTAGTACGGTATAGTGCTGCTAGACCATATAGTGCTGTTAGTACCGTATAGCGCTGCTAGTACAGTATAGTGCTGCTAGTACCATATAGTGCTAAGTGCTTCTAGTACCGTATAGTGCTGCTAGTACGGTATAGTGCTGCGAGACCATATAGTGCTGCTAGTACCATATAGTGATGATAATACCGTACAGTGCTGCTAGTACAGTATAGTGCTGATAGTACCGTATAGTGCTACTAGTAACGTATAGTGCTGCTAGTACCGTATAGTGCTGCGAGACCATATAGTGCTGCTAGTACCATATAGTGATGATAATACCGTACAGTGCTGCTAGTACAGTATAGTGCTGCTAGTACCATATAGTGCTTCTAGTACCGTATAGTGCTGCTAGTACGGTATAGTGCTGCGAGACCATATAGTGCTGCTAGTACCATATAGTGATGATAATACCGTACAGTGCTGCTAGTACAGTATAGTGCTGATAGTACCGTATAGTGCTGCTAGTACCGTATAGTGCTGTTGGTACTATAAAATGCTGCTAGTACCGTATAGTGCGGCTGGGGCCAAATACTGCTGCCAGTACCGTATAATGCTGCTAGTACCGTAGAATGCTGCTGGTACCATATATAGCTTCTAGTACCTTATAATGCTGCTAGTACCATATAATGTTGCTAGTACCATATAAAGCTGCTAGTACCGTATAATGCTGCAAGTACCATAGAAAGTTGGAAGTACCGTATAATGTTGCTAGTACCCTATAAAGCTGCTAATACCATATAAAGCTGCTAGTACCGTATAATGCTGCTAGTACCATATAATGCTGCTAGTACCATATAATGCTGCTAGTACCATATAATGCTGCTTGTACCATATAATGCTGCTTGTACCATATAATGCTGCTAGTACCATATAATGCTGCTACTACCGTATAATGCTGCTAGTACCGTATAATGCTGCTAGTACCATTTAAAACTGCGAGTACAGTATAATGCTGCTAGTACCATACAATTCTGCTAGTACCGTATAATGCTGCTAGTACCATATGATGCTGCTAGTACCATATAAAGCTGCCAGTACCGTATAAAGCTGCTAGTACCGTATAATGCTGCTAGTACCGTATAAAGCTGCAAGTACCGTATAATGCTGCTAGTACCGTATAATGGTGCGAGCACCATATAAATCTGCTAGTACTGTATAATGCTGTTCGTACCGTATAAAGCTGCTAGTACCGTATAAATCTGCTAGTACCGTATAATGCTGCTAATACCGAATAATGCTGCTAGTACCGTATAATGGTGCTAGCACCATATAAATCTGCTAGTACTGTATAATGCTGCTAGTACCGTATAAAGCTGCTAGTACCGTATAATGCTGCTAGTACCGTATAAAGCTGCTAGTACCGTATAAATCTGCTAGTACCGTATAATGCTGCTAGTACCGAATAATGCTGCTAGTACCGTATAATGGTGCTAGCACCATATAAATCTGCTAGTACTGTATAATGCTGCTAGTACCGTATAAAGCTGCTAGTACCGTATAAATCTGCTAGTACCGTATAATGCTGCTAGTACCGAATAATGCTGCTAGTACCGTATAATGGTGCTAGCACCATATAAATCTGCTAGTACTGTATAATGCTGTTCGTACCGTATAAAGCTGCTAGTACCGTATAATGCTGCTAGTACCGTATAATGGTGCTAGTACCATATAATGGTGCTAGTACCATATAAAGCTGCTAGTACCGTATAATGTTGCTAGTACCGTATAATGCTGCTAGTACCATATAAAGCTGCTAGTACCGTATAATGCTGCTAGTACCATATAATGCTGCTCCTTTATATGTTGGCTTCTAAGTAGAGACAATGACAAGCATCGGGTAGTAAAGTAAAGTAACAATTTTAGAGAACTTTCAAACATGCCCCAAAATAAAGAACATAATGTAAGTGGAGGTACAGTATTCCTCAGCTGTGGCGCTGTTTTCTATCCTATTATGTCTGTCTGTACATCTGTCCCCAAAGTAACCCAAGAACAGTTATGCGGATCTGCACCAAACTTGCTAGGTTTAATCAACAGGTGACCAGGTCACATGGTAAGCGTTTGGTGCACATACCGCCAAAGTTTACCAAGTGATAAGGGTTCGTGCAATGACTTACAGGAAGAGCGCCACTGTTTCAATATTTACCTTGCCATGGAAACTGTTCGTGGGCATTATCACAAAACTTGGGTTCATCCCACAGTCTCGACATGTACAGACCAAAGGAGAACTCCCAGTTGAGTCCTGGAAACAACTCAGTTGAAGGCATCAATTTCTAACTGGCCGTCGCTACGCCCGACCCCAGGACTATCAAGACACACATTCCTCTGTCGCTACTTCACCCAACACTCCTCAACATTTGTAAGATAACCATAATTACTTTTATTTCATCACGTGTTTGGACTTTAAGAGTATGAGTGTGCTCCCACGCTTACCTTTTGATCATATATCGACCAAACATACAATGATTACCATCATTAACCAGCCTGTACGTTGTCAGTTGGTATTTGTATTTTTTTTACGGGGATTAGCCCACCCGGGCACAGGTCACTGACCCACATCAGGGCCTGGGGGGCGGGGCCTGGGGGGCGGGAGAAAAAAAAAATATATATATATATATATATATATATATATATATATATATATATATATATATATATATATATATATATATATATATATATATATATATATATATATATATATATATATATATATATATATATATATATATATATATATATATATAATAATAATAATAATAATAATAATAATAATATAATCATAATCATATCATAATAATAATAATAATAATAATAATAATAATAATAATAATAATAGTAATAATAATAATAATAATAATAATATTAATAATAACAAAGAAATACAAAAATGAAAAAAAAGATCAAAAGTGAGAAACAAAATATGTATGTTGTGTTGTGAATAGTAAGTGAAACAACTGAGACACTGCAATTGAGTGTAAATGAGGCCGAAAGTCTGATCAGCAACCTGAGACTTGGTCACAATTCTTGGGATGCCATATAGCAGTAGGGTCTACCATAGACAATACATTATGCTTCCAATATCTTCCCAGGCGGTAGTACCTCCCTGTCGTGTCCTTATTGCACCTTTATCGTCTTGTTAAAACCTTCAGCTTCCGTGACAAACGTGAGGCAAGACTTAACTAAGTGTTGGAATACAAACAACCAAATTAGTTTTTTCAAGTATTGCTAATATCAGTTCGTGTTGTTATAAGATAAAACATTTAGTTGTGATTGTGACTAATTTTGAAGGTAAAACATAAAATAACATTACATGTATGCAGTATATCACGGAGTTTATCCTCACATGACTAGTGCTAACCCTGATAACAATGTTTCACCATTCCCAGTACGGTACCAGCCGTACTGGCGTCAACGAGGCCTGGCAGAAGCGTCACCACCTTAACTTTCAGTTCGTCTTCTACGAGGGCCTCAAGGCCGACATTATGGCCAAGCTGGAGAAGCTGAACGAGTTTTTGAGCACAAACCTCAGCCAGAAGCAACTCTTAATGTATGATGCTGTGTGTTCAGAGGACATGTAAACAAGATATATTTGTTTCACTACATTAACTGTTTAACATCAAAATACCTGAGTAATGTAACAAGAATAACGAACAATGGTAGTGGGCTGTAATCAATATACCAAACCTCCCTTCACACTCAGGTAGCTAAATACACCGAGTTTAATGAGATGGCAGGCCGGGACAACTTGATGGGGCCCAAAACAGAAGATAATCCCCAGTACTCACAGGAGGTGGTGAGGCAGGAGGGCGGCTTCTTCAGGAAAGGTGGAGACTTAACTTCTGTTAAGGATAGTCTTGTTTTCTTTACTTTACTCGATTCACTAAAACTAAAGACAACCTTTGGTTCAGGTAGAGGTAACTGACATCCGCTATTGATATTATTAGTGATATTGCCAATAATAACCCAGGGCTCTTGGTTGAAACATGTCGTAACATTTGATAAAGAGATTGTTAAACATTGCAGAAATAAAAATTTGACCAAATCTTGTTGGTAAAGAGTTTAAGGATTATAACTCTTAATTACAACTAACAAATAATACACACGATGATGGAATTTCTCAAGTCAACAACATCCATTGTTTAAAATAGGAGTTTATTATAATTTAAAGATCTCATTTTCAGTTTTCACAAATTCTTATTGAGGTGAATGATGAAGTAATATTGTTGATTCCTGTGCCGGGTGAGGTTGGTAACTGGAAGGAGAAGTTGACCCTAGACCAGGTACACAAGATCGACAAGTGGACGAAGAACATGGGTGAGATTCCATTTAAGTACATTTTGCAAACAAGTCTTCAACTGCTGGTCTCCTCCACTACAGTACAGCTGTCACAAGTACTGGCGGAACTACACCTGGAGAATAGTCTCATAACACCCATGCTGGAGAATATTTTCCAGTGCACAGAAGAAAGAATCTAGGAGAAAATAAACTCTCGGAGAAACCACAAGATGAAATTCCTCATAAAACAAAAGCCATCTTCAGCCAACACATCATCACCTCCTCTGGTTCAGTTCGGCTCGTACTGAAAATTCCGCAGCATTTATTGTCTACATCGTTCTGTGTCATGTCATTGATGTAAAACTATTCAGAATACAAGCTGTTCTTGCTGAAGCTGATACTCTTGATGATACAAGTCTGGATAATGGCAGTAAGGATAATGTGACTGGATAATGACGGTATGGATAATGTCACTGTAGATAGTGACAGTATGGATAATGTCACTATGGATAATGACAGTATGCATAATGACAGTGCCGTATACATAATCAGCAAATTATCTTGCCTTCTTGAATATATAAGTGAAATCCTTACATCAAACTCTCCTCGTAATTTATGCCAAAACCTACTCGGTAATGAACAGACTGGTTCCAGGATATTTCGTTACCGAACAATTTGTCAGCATACACCTAACCTAACCTAACTTAATCTAACTTACCCTAACCTAACCTAAACTAATATAATCGAACTTGACCTGACCTGACCTGACCTAGGCCTCATCGCCTCCAAAATAAAGACAATTATCAAAATTAAATCACTATAACACCCACCAATCAGACCATCCCAAGAACAGTAGTAGTTCCCATTCTACATCACATCAAAGCTAAAAGAAGCAGCTTAGTTACCTCTAAAATCACAGAAACTCATTTCAAAATCCTAACTTATCTCCAACTCATTAAGGCTTCTTGTAACTAATCCACAAAAGATGTTTTCTTCCTCTCCTCACTCTTAGCTCAGTCTTCCATATATTTGGTGAAACTTTTCTCGTTGCCTGATGCATCTCACAACCATTCAGTAAAGTTTGGCATCAGGATCTTAAGCAAACTTCCTTCCTCTGTCCTTCCTGCTTTTCTTATTTCTCGAATAGTTTCAGGCGAGCCACAGTATCCGTCCTGTGTGTGTGTCCTTCATGATGTTTACCATAACTTGATGTGTTATTGTTTAAGACGCCCCAGCACTATGTCGCTTCTGGATTAACTCAACAGGAGGGACGAGAGGATGTATCTTTTAAATAAATAAAGGAAGATATATCACAACTCTGTAGAAGAGACAGTTTGTCTTACAGAGTTAAGGTGTACAATACTCTTCAGCTCAAGTGTCATTGATGAAGATGTTGCAAAGTTAAGTAAGCGTGATATAGAGTTCTTCATGAGGGTGTACAGTACTGGCCAGGTTTGAAACTTGTACAGTACATGTTTCTGATTGATACCATTATTGTGTTAATCATTTTTAAATTATTAACTTCTTGTAACTACTAATAATCACAACCATAGTCCATGTATTCATTACATTATTAACTAAGGCTATTTTTGTGTCTACTTGACCAACTGTTCCTTACAGCGTAAAAATTTTTAACAGTGACGTTACAAGCTGCCAGGGGTGAGTCCAAATCATTCTCAAAGGAGACTGACTAGTGTTATGATACGCCCTACAACAGACAGAGACTTAATGGATAGCCAACACTCTCAGACTCACTTCAATCGACTATGTCTGATTCAGTTTTAGGAAGCCTTTTTATTATTATGCGGAGTTTAAGTTCCTCTCACTCTGTACTGATCTTTTGTATTATGACCGAAAAGAAAGTTCTTAAGTGATGTAACATTAAATTGACCTGACATCACTATCACTTGTTTTTAACTCTTCCTCTTATAAGATCTCAGAGTTGACACTATACTAAGGTGGGTTCATCAGTACCTTAACTGCACAGGTATGAGGCCACCCGTGCTTCGTCTCTACAGGTGAACTGGAGAGAGTAGGTACCTCTTTCGACAAGTGTATAGCCAATAGTACCTCAGCAGTGTAGGTGTAGGTGTCAGCTGTACAGGTATGGTGGCCAGCAGTGCCTCAACTATACAGGTGTGGTGGCTAACAGTATGTCATCTGTACACGTGTGGTACAGATGTAGTGGCCAACAGCTGCACACGTGTGGTTCCCAACAGTACAGGTGTATGGCCAGCTGTACAGGTATGGTGACCAGTAGTACCTCAACTGTACAAGTATGGTGGCCAACCGTACCTCAGTTGTACAGGTGTGGGGACCAACATTACAGGTGTGATGGCCAACAGTACAGGTGTCGTGGCCAACAGTACAGGTGTGGTGGCCAACAGTATAGGTGTTGTGGCCAACAGTACACGTGTGGTGGCCAACAGTACACGTGTGGTGGCCAACAGTACAGGTGTGGTGGCCAACAGTACATGAGTGGTGGCCAACAGTGCAGGTGTGGTGGTCAACAGTACAGGTGTGGTGGCCAACAGTACAGATGTGGTGGCCAACAGTACAGATGCGGTGGCCAACAGTACAGATGCGGTGGCCAACAGTACAGGTGTGGTGGCCAACAGTACAGATGCGGTGGCCAACAGTACAGGTGTGGTGGCCAACAGTACAGGTGTGGTGGCCAACAGTACAGGTGTGGTGGCCAACAGTACAGGTGTGGTGGCCATCACCTATCCCTGAGAGAACAAGCTCTGAGTGTACCTGTCCTCTTGTACTCTAAATCAAATTACTATACCAAAATAAAAGTTGTAAGTGAATGAAGATCGTGTGGAGTAAAGGTATATTATATTAATACTTCACCAATATGAAGGGGACTGGTGTCCTCACGAGCCAACCATCATGAAAATGTTCTACCTGACGAAGCCCGTTGACCGCCACCCCGGGCTTCCTACAGGATTGGCTACTCTGGCTCCCTCACCTCTGGCTCCCTCACCTCTGGCTCCCTCACCTCTGGCTCCCTATTATTTCAGACTTTATTTTCTTCATTTAAGGAACACTATTAGCCTCACGTTATGTTCTGCTCACACTCGAAACACTGTCAGCCCAACACTCGGAACACTGTCAGTCTCACACCCGAAATACTGTCAGCCTTACACCCGTAACACTGTCAACCTCACACCCGTAACACTGTCAGCCTGACACCCGTAACAGTGTCAGCCTCACACCCGTAACACTGTTAGCCTGACATCCGTAACACTGTCAGCCTCACACCCGTAACACTGTCAGCCTCACACCCGTAACACTGTCAGCCTCACACCCGCAACACTGTCAGCCTCACACCCGCAACACTGTCAGCCTCACACCCGTAACACTGTCAGCCTCACACCCGGAACACTGTCAGCCTCACGCCGTGTCACACCGCCTAGCTTGACCCATGGCACCCGCTAGTGGCCAAAATTAATGTAGCTGTGATCGGGACCTTAAATGCAGCCGATATCAGTATTCGCAATACGATAAAGCTCGTCATTAAACTGGTAGTGATCGTATTTCATTTACACACAGCCAACAAAGTGAGCTGCACAATTTTCAGTACACACGAGTCATTGCTTTTGACATGTAGTTCTCGTAATAGAATGAGTAAGGTTCACTGACTGCATTAAAAGGTGACGCACGTGACAGGAATGCTCGAGTGTTTTACCTTTATGAGGACGGCTTAATGTGTCGCCCCGGCCAGCGTTGGAGGCAGCATCAGGCACATGGCAGATAACACGTTAATCTCCTGGTGTTACTACTGCTACCTACCAGGATATTATTTGGCTGTTTTAACCATATTATCAAACACTTTGGAATTGTGATTTTCAAGACGGGTAAATGGTGTGTGGTGATGGGACAGCCATTTGGTGCAGATGTGGATGAAATATGTTTCATAACGCACGCACGCACGCACACACACACACACACACACACACACACAACAAACAAGCACAAACACACACACACACACAACACACACACACACACACACACACACACACACACACACACACACACACACACACACACACACACACACACACACACACACACACACACACACACACACACACACACACACACACACACCATAACACTACAAGGACTCTGGTCAGTTACTCTTGACAACTTCCCTAGATCCCCAAGACCTGTGTTCCCTCCCGTAGCACAAACTGTCATGGAGGAGAGTTCCTGCCATCACGTTTTTTACTTCTCTATATTGTACAGCAAAATTTTAAAACAAGAAATTGTACAGTATAAGTTAATGCCTGTAACGTAACAAGCTACTGACTGTAACAAGAGAAGCTAGTGGCTAACATAACAAGAGAAGATAGTGACTGTAACATAACAAGAGAACCTAGTGACTGTAACATAACAAGAGAAGCTAGTGACTGTAACATAACAAGAGAAGCTAGTGACTGTAACATAACAAGAGAAGCTAGTGACTGTAACATAACAAGAGAAGCTAGTGACTGTAACATAACAAGAGAAGTTAGCCAACATAATGTGAGGCATCTACAGAGGATAATATAACACAACTGCCTATATAAGCTTAATTCGTCTTCATCTCTACTGCCAAAAGTTTTATTACTGACCGACCATCATACAATATTACAATTAAGTCAGTGCCAAGGTGCCAATACAAAGAACACATCACCACCTCTCACTCAAGAGCCACGAGGACAACACATCTCACAGCTCTAAGCGATGTTGTGGAATTACAGCATTTTTCTATGACAAAACGACAAGGACTTAGAAACACATTAAAATAAATACAGTGATCACCAAGTGTCCCGACCATCTTGGGTTGGGTCAGGTCAGTTTGGGTTAGATTAGGTTGG